AAATTGTATTTGTCGAAATATGAAGCTTCTATTTAAGTAGTGTTATGAATATATGAAAACATTAAACATCAGAATGTCTAAGGTTGATTTTAAAAGTAAGTATTACTGAAATGTCAGAATCACTAAATCCATTTGACTTTTCAAATTTTAGTTTCTTTATGATTACAAAAGATCATTCTCTTGTTCTTAAAATTTTAACATGTTAAGATGTATCAGTGACTATATTTACTATGTATACTATCGTGGCCAAAATTATTTAGAGAAATGTAAGCATTCTAAAGAATAAGTAAGAACAAGATAGTAACAAATATGCATATTTAATAACAAAGTTAAGTATAAATCAGACTACTGAAAATACCTTATGTTTATTAATAATAAAGTTTTATTATTCCATAGAAATAAGCAGAGGCAAGAAACTGTTTATAGTTGTTTCCTCCAGGAAGGGAAATTGGATAGCTCTGTGTCAAAAAAGTGAGGGGACTTATGTTCACTATTTTGTCCACTTTTTTATCCTTTCCATTTCATACATAACTAAGTAAATTTTAAAATTACTTAAAGAGAGAATATAATAAAAATAAAGAATTTAAAGAATTTCAATATTCTTTAGTAATACAGAAAGAAGTAATTAAATATCTAAATTTATTTGATTTCAATTATAAAGATTTTAAGTGAATAAGAGATAACCCACTGCCATTGAGTCGGATCGGACTCATAGCAACCCCTCCTTGGGTTTCCAAGGTGATATCAGTACTGAAATAGATTGCCCAACCTTCCTTACAATGAGTGGCTAGTGGGTTTGAACCGCCAGCCTTCTGGTTAGCAGTCAAATGCCTTAGGCACTATAGGACACTGAATTTTGGGAAGAATTTTTACAATTTTTCAATTTTATGGTAAAATTATATAGGCTATATTTTACCTTACCTTTTTTTTTCTCTGCATTAAAAAAAAAAAACCTAAAATTCTGACAAGTTAGGCAGATGAATTTCTGAAGAAAGAAATATAATAACTGATGTAGATTCAAGCTTTGTTTTCACTTCTTTGGCTCAAGAGGAAAAGAATAGCAAGGAAAAGGGAAGAATCTTTAAATTGCAGGAGGACACAGAGCTCTGTGCCTCAAAAAGAAAAAATTGCTCAGCATGGTATAATTAAGAGATATCTAGCTTGGTCACATTGTTTATTCCTGCATTCAATTAGCATTTATTGAATAGTTTTTTTATGCCAAGCACCATTCTAGGCTCTGAGGATAGAACCATAAACAAAATAGGTAAGATCTTCACCTCACAGAGCTTAAAAAAAGAAAACAATAAACATGATAAATAAGTGTAAAGTATATGCATTGTAAAGTACTAAGGAGAAAAAATTAAAGCAACTAAGGGGAATATGAATGTTAGTGGGAAGAAAAGTGACAATGAGAAGGTGACATCTAAGTAAGTTCTTAGGAAGGCAGGTGGAAGGAAGGCAAGTGCAAAGGCCCTGAGGAAGGAGCATGACTAATTTGTTCAAAAACCAGCAAGACCAGTGTGATCTCAGTGGAATGAACAAAGGGAAAGTAGTAGAAAGAAGGTCAGGAAGGTAACCGAGGTTGGATTTTTGTATAGTTCTTATACATCAAAGCAAGGATTATACACCAAAGCCAACTCTGAAGGAGACGGGAAGCCATTGGGAAGTTTTGAGTAGAGCTGTGATGTGTTATGAATTATGTTTTAAATGATCACAGTAGCTACTGTGTTCATAATAGAAGGGGAGCAAGGATGGAAGCAGGAAGACCAGTTAGGACTCTATTGTAAAAATCCAGGCAAAAGAAGCTAAAGCCAATAGGATTTGCTGATGTGCCAGCTGTGAGTTGTGAGAAAAAGAAAAATATCAAGGAAGACTTCAAGATTTCTGATCTGAGCAACTGAAGGAATAGCTTTACCATTCGCTGAAATGGGGGAGATTGCTAGGGGAGCAGTTTGGATATCAGGATCTCAGTTTGGGGCATGTGGAGTTTATAATGCCTATCAGACATCTCAGTAGACCTTCTGAGTAGACAGTCACATGTATGAGTTTTGAGTTCAAGAAAGAGTTCTGTAAGGTGCTTTTATTTTACCATCTACTTTTGCTCCAAATAGGAAGATTTCACAAAATTACAGAAATATTAAAATTAAAGAGATTTCAAAATCAGGAATTTGTTCTTTTACCCATAGCTTGAATCAGAAGAGTTTAATGACTATTTCTTCTGAAAGTGCTGTTAGAGTATGTGCCTATACTTTACAACATACAAAATAGAGATATCTAGAAATGATGTTTTCAAAAATTATACATGTTTTACAACAAAGTGGGGAAAATGAGGGGGAAATACAATGTTACACTTCAGATATCTTTGTATCTTATATTCCTTAGCCTAAGGACTTTTTAGTAATATAAAGTCAGCCACAGTCAAACTATTATAAGTCTGTGTAAATGTGTAAATGTCTGTGTCGTTAGATAAACTTCCCAAAATGATGGCTGTCTCTATACACATTCTCTTACGTGGCAATTTAGATGAACCGAAAGATCAGCTTCACTGAACATAATATTAACTCAGAGGTCTACATACTTCAGGTAGTGACTATCAACACAACTTTTTCAAGTTGATTTAATATAAGGCTCTGCTTCTTTTCTCATGTTCACTGTTACCCAGAAGCTTGTTAATTTAAGCTAAAATAACACAGAGCTTTACTCTAAGGTTGAAGAAAAGCAAATATTTTGTAAGCAGATTTTCAACCTTTGAATATTCTTCTTCTCATCTGAAAGCTTTCAACTTTTACATTTTAAAAACAAAGATAAAAAGAACAAGGTGGGAAGGAGATGGATTTCAATTTATATTGTCTTCTACCCAGTCCCTTTTTGGCTGCCTCTCCAAATTTGACTAAGACACAAAATCATAAGAGTTAAAATGTCACCTGTCCTCTGCCCTCCAACTTTCTAACTGCAGATTCAGGAACTCACATCTCTCAGCAGGAGGAGAAAGCAGTGTCTGTGTGTGTATGTGCATTTGAGTAAGAAGTAGTGGGGAAAGGAAGGAGTACTTGAGTGATGACACTAACAGGAATGTTTTGCATTTTGGAAGATGTAATCTCTCTAAGAAAATTCTATAGATAAAGCAGTAATGGGACAGTAACATGGAAAAACATGTAAGCTAGAAGTTTAAGCTTATCACATAGTCCATCTGTTTAGCGTATGAGAGAACCAGCAGTAGCTATAGATGAATATACCATTCATTATGGAAAGGGAAAAAAACCTCCATAAATATCTACTAGGGACCAGGAATAAAACTGGAAGCACATAAACCTGCCCTTGTGAAATAGATCTGAGAAGGAAGTTCAATATTCACAAATGGTGATAGAAAAGGACCATCCAAATACAATATGAAGACAAACCTCTATAGTGGTGAGGTTTACTTTGTATAAAAGTTTAGAAATCTAGCATGGGACTTAAAATAACAATAAAAATAAGAAAGAGGACCAAAAAGAGGAGGAGGAAAACACTTGTGGGAAGAAAAAGTAAAAGGAACAGTATTCATAAGACTCAAAGAAGTGGCACATTCCTGAAAATAATCTAATGCAGGACTCAGAAAAAAAAAAAATCCAATAAATGACTGAATATTCTAAAGTTACTGTAGAGTAGCTCGTATGTATAAGAACTGTTCTACACTCATAACATGTACTACCTCATTTAATCCTCACAATAATCTCATGAGATGTTATCTCCTTTGAAATGGAGAAATGGAGACTTGTCCAAAGTCATAAATCTATGAAGAATTCAAAATACATAGCTATTAGAAGAGGAGAAATATATTTTTTCATTCCATGAATATTTTATGGGTACTTACTAGGGGACAGATACTATTCTTGGCACTTGGAATATCTTAGTGGGAAAAAAAGGTTGCTTTCTAGCAGCTAATTATATAGTATGAGAAAATGATGAGTTCTGTAGGGGGATATAAGAAATTAGAGCAGGATATTGAAATTGGAAAGTACATGATGGGGGATGGAAATTAACGAATAGAGTTGGATTTAAGGGTTTTGTGTGTTAATTTTTAGTGATTCTGAGAATCTTTGTTTGTTATAGGCTGATTTAACCAAGTCACATTTATTTTATTAATTAATACATCTAGTTTTCCTTTGTCAAAAATGTTTTCTGTTTTTCATGCTTCTCGATGCTTTCTGTTTTATTTATTTATTTATTTATTTATTGTTAAGCAGCTAATTTGTCGCTATTTATTTGTCTAGTGTTTTGAAAAATATAGTTTATTCTACTGGTGGTTACTTTTAAGGGTCACATATTTCTCTACCAACCTCAAGCATAGAAAATAAGCTCCATGAAAGCAAGATCTGATCTATATCTTCTCAATCACTGGACCTATAACAAAACCTAGCTAATAGTAGGTATATTAAAATATATTTGTTAAATGAATAAATAATTAATAGATATTAACTGCATGATCACAATTCTGCCCTGAGGCCAAAGATAAATAGATTATGAAGAAGAAATAAAGATTAGAAAAAGAATGCAGAGAAATGTGGGGAAGAGGAGAGAGCTTCTATCACACTCCTGTGTGATCTTAGAAAACTTACACATCTTATCTGCACCTCTATTATTTCACCTGAAAAATGAACATATTTTTTTGGCTTATAGATAATTTTAAGAAACCCATAAAGGCTATCTTCTCTACAGAAATATCATATACACATTATGAAAAATAATCATTGACATAGTTAATGAGATAGTGTTAGTCCTTTAATATTTATACTGTCAACATGATATGAAAACTTCAATGAAACATTTTATAATATTTAAAAGTAATAGACAAATTCACAAAAAAAAAAAAAACTCTGCATACTTTATAATAAAGCCCCAAGTTTCCATACTAGGAAAAGGCATTTGTTTAAAGAAAGCAACAAAACATTTATTCATAGATGTTCTAAAATATTTTGAAACATAACATTGCAATATCTTCTTGTAAATTCTTGTAACATTTATTTCAGATAGGGATGAAGTTGTTTAAGCTTAGCTTTCCTTGACAAACCAATTCTGATTGGTCGGCTGCATGTCTTCAGTGGATGTACTCTTAAAATTCCATATGAAAAATGGCTACCTAAAAATATAAAATGATAAAAGTACATAAGAATGTAGAATTACTAATAATTTCTAAGCTTAGAAATGTTAACAAACTTCTAATCATGATACTACAACATCTACTGAGTATTTACTATGTGTCATGCACTGTGCTAAGTATTTTAAATGCATTATTTTATTTAATCCTGTCATTAAATGCATTATTTTACTTAATCCCGTCCCCATGTGCTACAGATTTTAGTGGTAGAAACTCTAAATTTATTAAGAGGGGAAACACCACAATAACAAGTAGGTAGTCACAAAAACATTTCAGGACACTTAAGAATCTTTTCCATGCCTTTAAAACCATTCTGTACAAGCAGACGCAATGTTCTGCCTATTGTTATTTGCCATTTAGTCTGCTCTTACTTACCCCACACTTCCCAGTATTTTCTAACTTTTCACTTACACTGGACTTTAACAACCTCGGGAAGATTGTTTTTTTTTATGAATCCAAGCCTACTATTATTAAATATTATTAAATAATTCCAGCTGAATTTACATGCTATCATTCATATTTAGTGATGAGGCATTTAACCTTGTGAAGGCAAAATCAGATTATTAGGGTTTTAGATAGTTCCAAAAAATGTTAACTTTTTCCATTTTCTACACCTTTTATTTAATCTTCTTCATATATACATGTCACTATCACAAATATAATCATTATAACAATATGAGTATGTGCTCCCTACTCTTCCTCCATCCATATCAAATTATGCTCCTAAAGCCAATTTCTTTCTACCTTAGAAGAAGAGACTCCCCCCATCATTCCAGGTTAATTTCTGCCACACTTGCTTTTCTCTAACAGAGTAGTGCTCCCTCAATTATTCCCATTAATTCGGGTGAAAACAAACTACCTTTCATCTTCCAAGGATATGGATTAATTTTTAAGATTATTTCACTGTGATCTAAGGAAGTAGAAACAATGCAGTTCTGAGGCCACTGAATAAAAAGAACAGGGACAGCAATTTTACTTATCATGAAGAGACCTGGAAAAAGGTTTTGAGAAATGATGTATGCCTGAAAATATTTGGGTAGATATATTTCACCTACATTTACCCTTGATACAGTCATGTGTACTATCAGAATTTTTTATAAGACTATAACTTTTCCTAGGTGCTCTAATTTCAATCCTACTGCTACCTCATCCCAGTTAGGACTACAAATTAGAGCAATGCTTGGTCTGTAGTATCTTGGTCTGATATTGTAAACATCTTTGGCAAAACATAGGGATAGTTGTTTAGTTTATTTTTAAAATAGCTATCAAAGATTAAAATGCCATAGTAATATATTATGTTGAATATGACTCATAGCAAGCCCCTCCTTGAGTTTCTGAGGCAGTATCTGTGCAGAAGTAGATTGCCCAACCTTCCTTCTGAGGTGTGGCTGGTGGATTTGAACTGCCAGCCTTCTGGTTAGCAGCCAAATGCCTTAGGCACTACGCCACCAGAGCTCCCATAAATTATGTTAATATGCCTTAATGATCCTTACATTTTCTTAATTCACAAAATAAAATGTCTATGTAAGAAGTCCCTTCACAGTAGAAAGTATAGAGAACACTGATAATAAATATGTAAGTGAAAGTGACATCTCATCAGAGGAAATTCAACTTAGACAACTGGTTCTTTCATTTTGCCAATTAGTACTGAGTACACGAGACACCTATCTTTGATCATGCATGACACCTAATTTATCACATAGTTATTGAAATATATCACGGCAAATATTTGAACACAGTTTCATAGAGTGTATTTGCCAGTAATATTCTAAATGCTCACTAAATTCATAAATGTTCACAAAAGTATTTAAATTTTGCGTTTATTTTCAAAAATCCTATGTATCTATATGCTCCTCATGCTAAAAAATAATGCAATAATCATCTTAGAAAATTTTCCAGAAGACAACTTAAAAATCTTACCTCCTTTCAATAAATAATTATATTTTTCTTCCTTAAATTCATCAGAAAACAAAGCAGGCCTTTGAGATAAGGGTTTTTCACAATCTGAAAATAAAGATAAATGTATTATATTGTTGTTTTTATGTATTATAGCAATACCAAAACAAAACAAACCCATTGCCTTCAAGTTGATTCCAACTCATAGCAAACCTGTAGGACAGAGTAGAACTGCCTCATTGGGTTTTGAAGGCTGTAAATCCTTATGGGAACATTCTACCTCATCTTTCTCTGGTAGAGAAGCTGGTGAGCTCAAACCACCAACCTTTTGGTTAGCAGCTGAGAAGTTAACCACTGCCCTACCAGGGCTCCTATTACACAAATAAGTAACTTTTACATAAAAATGTTATTAGAAAACAAACTTTTTTTTTTTCAGAAGTATTTGTTCAATTGTATCCTCTTCAAATCTCCTTTTAAAAAATCAATAAAGTGTTGTCCTCAACTTCAGTATATTATTCAATGTTTGAACAGCTCTTTATGGGAAAATACCCCCAAAAAAACCCACTGCCATCAAGTGGATTCTGACTCATAGGACAGAGTAGAACTGCCCCATAGGGTTTCCAAGGCTATAAATATTTAAGGAAGCAGACTGCCTAATCTTTATCCCGCAGAGTAGCTGGTGGGTTTGAACCGCAGAACTTTTTCTTACCCTTTATCTTCATTTTTGTCGAAATCATATATTTTGGCCTAACCAAAAAAAAAAAGCCAAACTCACTGCCTTCAACTTGAATCCAACTCATAGCAACCCCTCCTTGGGTTTCCAAGGTAGTATCACTACAGAAGTAGATTGTCCAACCTTCTTTCTGAGGAGTGGCTGGTGGGTTTGAACCACCAGCCTTCTGGTTAGCAGTCAAGTGCCTTAGGCACTACGCCACCAGAGCTCCTATATTTGGCCTACAGAGGGAAAAAGTAGGAATATTTTGCTATTATGAGAAAGAATTATTTTAAAACTGATTTCATACCTTTCTTAGAAGGAGAACAGAGTAATTCTTCCTCTGATGTTCTTGGACCAAAATATTCATTAGGAACTTTCTGCTCGCCATTATTGGGTTCTGTTTTCCATTTAAATGAACTGTGGTGTCTTTTACACATGTTAGGACCTGCTGTAGTATCACAGAGTAAAGAAGATCCACACATTTTGTTGACTGTAACCACTTTCAAATCTATTTCTTTCTCCTTGTCTACATCTTCCATATCATTACTTTCTCCAAAGTAATTTTCTTGCCCAATGTTTGTTCTTACAGTGCTTAGAATTTCTTTATCCTTACTAATTTCATGAAACATATGAAGTTCTTGAAGTACTAAATCAAATTTATTCCTCATTTCAAAATCTTTTCCTATTGTAAGAGCTTCTGTTGATAAACACTTAGCAGTTAAGTCCTGAAAACATTCATTGTTCCCAGCACTCAAATCACTTTCAAATTGATGATTAACACTTTCTGTAGAACCATTCTTCAGATGAAAATGCCTTGAATTAGCTAATTCCCTTTCTTGCAAAGTGTTCTCATATTCATTTCTGTCAGGAATGTTATTTTGATTAACATATATTTGGTTTGTCTGTATAGCATCTTCCACGTTTAATTTTTTACTCATTAATGAAGCTGATTGTACAGAAAGCATGCTATCCACTGAAGAAAAAATATCTTTCTCCTCCTTTTCTGTCTTAATATCTTTATAAATCTGGCAACTATTTGTTAAACTTTGTGCTGTGGTTTTTATTTCCTCCTCCAAAATTACTTCATAATATTTTTCTTTAATTTCACTTTGAAAGTTCCCAAAACTTGCCACCTGAGTTGTAGTCGTGGTATGGGTTTGTTGACCATGTATTATTACATGGCTTGCCAGGACATTAAAGAAATCCTCAGATATGAACTCAGAATTAAAGCTAGTAATCTTATTATGCTGTTGTTTACTTTCAGTATCTGAATCTTGCTTGTGCATACTTATTTCATTAAATTTTTCATTAAAATATCTTTGGTAGTTCTGAATAAACTGAGGACCAAACTTAGCATTCATTTTAACAGTAATAGGACTAAAGTGGGCCCAATTGTCTACATTCATGACTTCTTCACGGCAATTATCTTTGTAACTAATTTCTTCTGTCAAAAAAATGTCATGCATGTCATCTAATTCCATTAAAAAAGAATTTTTTTCATAAGTCTGAAAAACTGGAAAACATATATTTTTAGCAGTCATACTGAAGGAATTGATGGTTTCTTTCTTAGATCCTTCAAAAACTTCATCAGTTTGCAATTGCTTTCTTTTCTTGAACATAGGTCCCATATTATCTTCTAACATCCATGAAAAAGTTAAAATCCTTGCTGGATATACATAATGATTTTGTACTATGAGACTTTTCAGATAATTCAAATAAACTATCCATTTGAATAGTTTATTTGAATTACCTAATTTAAACTCTTTTTCAAGTTTTGTTAAAGAATCAAGGTAATTGTTGGTTTTCAATATAATATTTAGAGCTTCAGAAACATTGGTCAGTATATCTATGTTTAAAACATCATTCTTTCTATCAATATTCATATTCCTGGTTATTAGATTTAGAATCTCAGCTTTCTTTTTGCACTTCAAAGTTTCATACCAGGCTAAAATACTATACTTTTTACTTCCTGAAATATTTTTATGGAAACAAAAAATTTCTGTGCTGAAACTTTCAAAAATGTTACTTAAATGTAAGCCTTTTTGTGTAGCATAATGTCTCAACTGTAGCATATTATCATTTTCTTCTCTGTCACTTAAACAAACTATTTTTATTAAAGCTTTTTGACTATCCAGTGTTTCTATTATAAGAGGTTTTGATTGTTCTTCATATGTATTTATGGTTCTTGTACTGTGCTGACCTTCCTTGTTTAAAAGGTCTATTTCCAATAATTGTTGAAAATTTATATTTTTGCCACTTATGTTCATATTTTCACATTTAGTCTTACAATTATTCATAGTCCAACAACTTTCCCTGTTTCTCTTCAAAACACATTTAGTGTTATAATCCCATAAATGATTTTTTTCCAACCTGATTGGTATGTAACTGTCCAGGCCTATTTCTGTTTCTTTTTCTTTTGAATTTGCTAGTATTTCAGTAATATTATTTTTAGAGGCTCTTACATCATACATGAGTCTACTATGATTATAGTAGTTGAAATTGATAATGTCTTTTGTTTCTTTCCAAGTATTTTGGTTGCTCAGTGATTGATGATTACTTTCATAATACTCAGAAAAAGTATCTTCTTCATCCACAATATTATTGTCATTTTGTAGCTTTTGCTTAACATCAGGTCTACTTTGAGAACAGTAAATGTTTGTGAAATTCCAAACATATGTCTCATTTTTGTCATTTTTTTTCTTTGCTATTTCCTTTAAATAGACAGAGGACATTTTGCTATTTAAATCAGTTGGAAAGTCAGGGATACTTACTGTGTTGTTATCTCTAAAATAGAAGGGTTTAGCAATTTCCAAGCTGGGTTTCTTTGGACATTTTGCTATTTTTAGCATAGATACTAAAATGCTTTCTTTTTTATTTGATGGGATAACACTGCCAACGTTATATCTCTTCTTAATTTCTTGACGTGTTGGTTTAGCTTCCTTAGAAAAGGTAACATCTAAAAATGGGTTTTCTGCCCGCTTCATGTATCTATTGACTTTCTGACTATTGTTTCTCCTTTGCACTAAATACTGTTTTTCCTTTTCTTTTTTAACTCCATGTATATCATATATGGAGGTGCTGGACAGAGGTTGATTAACCTCTGCTTTAGATCTATCGCTGTTGTGCACGCTGAAAACCTCTCTTCCATTCAGTACTGGTTCAAAAGACCTTTCTGAAGCCCTCAAACCAGAATCAAAACTTTGTGAGGGGAGAGATTGCAAACAGCTAATCGTATGAAATTTGCTATTTTGGACTCCTGGGTGATGTATCTGCCTCCCACTAACTGATTTCTCTACACACGAGTCTGTGGAGTAATCAAAATTCACATTAGATGAAAGAGTGACTGCCTTGAAGGGTCTAGGCTGCAACTCCCAGATTTTTCCTACTTCAGACAAGCGAGGCACCAAAGGCAGGCTCCACCTCTCCTCAGAGACACCGCCAAGCTCAAGACGGATCCTCTTTCTACTGGGAGGCTGGGAATCAGGGTCTTCAGAAGGCAGTAGCGAAGAGGAAAGCCGCCTGAATTCAGCATCTTGCAGTGTCGGAGTCGAGAATGACATGATAGCGAACTGGAGGGACCTGTCCGAGGTCCTCACCAAGTTCCAGGCTATTAACAGGCACCAGGCGACTCGGTCTCGCCTCTAGAAACTTCTGTCACTCCCGACAGGCCCTTCGAAGCCTGAATTAAGCCGGTCTATAAAAGTACCGCCCCGCCCCCTGTCAGCACAGAGCTGGCCTCAGCCCCGTCCCCTCCCCCCACACCTCACCAGAAAAGTACGAAAGTGCCTGGGGCTCATTGGTCTATTTTTAGCGCCTTTCTAATAAATACAAAATGAAAATAGTCAGAATCTTTCTCTCTTCTGAAAATGAAGTCAGAATTTTTCTCTTTTTTAAAAAATTTGTGAGTGGAAATCGCTTCATTTTGAAAATCCTAAAATTTTGTTTTCCTCAGAAGCCACTTCACAGTTCCTCAAGTAAAATTTTCCAATAAAATCGTGTAGTTCTGGAAGCATCCAACCACATCTGTCTGTCCTTAAGAAACATTTTTTAACACTTTTAATCATCTCAGTGGTACTTAAAATCAGGTTTCCGCCTCATTAGAAAAGGTTGTTTTGGAGAAAGGCACTGTTATTTAACAATCTGAATATGTCAGGAAAAAGTTGTTACAAGCGTGTACAAATTGTTATCTTGATAATTATTGATCTTAAGAGTGTAAAAAGCAAATTGCTTTCATTTTTGCTGTGGGGTTTTCTTCACCAATAGTGTGGGTAAAATTACTTACAGATAAAAGTTACATGTTTGAATTACTCCATTTATTGTAATACAGTTATGACTAAAACCTAATAACAAATGCTTTTAAATATTTTTTGGTTTTTTCTTTGCTTTGAGAATCATTTATGATTTCTAGTCAATTTTGTGATTTTGTGACTTCCATAATCATAAAGAAAAAAATTATTTTCAAAATGTTTATTATTATACACATGTGTATTAAGAGACACATTGTTTTTGTTAGTTTCTATCAAGTCCAGTCTGACTCACCACAAGTAAAAGAGATGCGTAATTTCTGCTTGGTATTTAAAAATCTCAATCCACTCAGTAATTGTTTCAAATTTGGTATGTTTTATGCTCCTGGTGATTAAACATTTTTAAGAATTACAATAGTGTGCAACAGGATCCTGATTTCAAAACCCATGGAGCATACATGGCAATATATGACTAACATTCTACTTTAGGTAATGGCTTGTTCATCAGTCTCCTGTCCTATACTCTTAGATATATTGTGATTTGAATTCTGACCATTTGCTCCTACTGTAGCTTATAAATTCCTCCAGAGAACCATTTTCTTAAGTTTGTAGAAAGTCTAGCAGGATAAGCACTTCATAAACCCTACAAATAAGAATGGGTTGATGGTTCAGAATGTTCATTCAGTTAGTTCTCAGAGTTCTATTTCTACATATGCTCCAATGCTTTCTCCCCCCAAGATGTTCCACCAATCTACATTCTACTCATATTCAATTTGTTCTACCCTGTGATCAACCATAAGAACTAACTGGGTTAGGTAAGGTGGGTACAGTTGGTTCACTCATATGATATTAGGAGCAAAATTTTCACCTGTAAGTAAATGCCATAACTTTGTGATTTCTACTTGATTTTTTTAGTGTGTGTGTGTGTGTGTGTGTGTTTACAGAACAAATTCATTTTCCATATAACAGTTGACACACAATTTGTTTCATGATATTGATTGGAATTCCCATAATTTAACAGCTCTCTTCACACTTCCTCCCTGTAGTTAACTTTTCCCTATGTCCTTCTTTCCTATATATTCCTGCCTTCTGAGATATCTCACTGTGCAAACATTACCCTTCTGATGTCCAATGGTTCTAAGGAGTGTACCTACCTAGTGCAAAAGTTCACCTTATACTCCTATCTATCTGTTGTTTGGCTGGAATGCACAAGAGTGAATTCAATTCCAGGCCTAGGGACCATAGTCTCCAGGTTTCACTAGTCTCTATCAGACCAGTAAACCTGGTCTTTTTTATAATTTTGAGTTTTGTTCCACATTTTTCTCCCACTTTATCCAGGATCTCCTGTACTGATCCTTTCTGAGCAGTTGACAATTGTAGCCAGGCACCCTCTAGTTCTGGTCTCACAGTCACGTAGACTAAGGTTCACATGGTCTGTTAGTCCCTTGGACTAATTGTTTCCAATTATCTTTGGTTTTCTTCATTCTTCTTTGTTCTGGACAAGGAGAGACCAATTGTTGGATCTTAGATGGCTGCTTGCAAGCTCTTAAGGCCCCAGTCGCTACTCACCAAAATAGGATGTAGAACAATATTTTTGTGTATTATGTTATGCCAATCAAGCTTGCTATCGCCTGCGACCATGGTCCTGAGCCCATGAACCCAACAACTCATTTCCTTAGGGTCGTTGGCCATGGCTAAGAAGTTACCATATTTTTGCCTCCTGTTACCCCTATTATATATATGGAGATTCTTACAGCACATACAAATATGTATGTAGAAATGTCATCTACTTGATTTTTTATTGTTTCTTCATTTTACCAGCTTCCCCAAGAACACACCAGATATTCCCATACTACTTCTTTTAGATCTCCAAAAACTCTCACTGCCGTTGAGTTGGATCCTTCTCATAGTGACCCCTCCTTGGGTTTCTGAGGCACTATCACTACGGAAGTAAATTGTCCAGTCTTCCTTCCGAGGAGTTGCCATCACATAATTATTTAACACTTATGCATTGTTTAAGGACTAAAATTCAAATAAAATCCAGCAACATTAAGTTAATTCAACAAATGTCTGAGAACTATACCCAAGACACTACAGTTGTGTGCTGTCAAGTCGATTTTGAATCATAATGACCATATATGACAGAGTAGAACTTCCCCATAGAGTTTCCTAGGTGTTAGGTATACAGAAATATGTAAGATTATTTTCTCTACCCTGAAGAAACTTACAGCAATGAAGACAAAAAAAAAAAAGGAAGTATTTTCTTGAATTTTACTTTTTCAAACATTATTCTAATGACTACTGCCATTTCCATCAATTCCAGAGTCCCTGGGTGGCACAAAAAGTTAAGCATTCTATTGCTATTAACCAAAAGGTTGGCTGTTTGAACCTACCCAGAGGCACCTCAAAGGACAGGCCTAACGATCTGCTTCCAAAAGGTCACACCCTTGAAAACCCTCTGAAGCAGCTGTACTCTTCACACACAGGGTCTCTGTGAACAGTAATCAACTTCTTCGCAACAGCAACAATTCCTATCAAAACTGTAAACTTTGCTTGTGTTTCATACGTGTGTGTGTGTTGTTTGTTGGTTTTTGCTTTATTTTTATTTGTTACCTTGGAAAGGTACCAGTTATAAGTGATAAATGCAGAAACAGAAAGTTTAACTTCAACTTATCATAATCAAAATGTAAACAAGACTTATTCAAATCTTCTTATCCTTCTAAGTCTATTTCAAATGCCATATTCTTCTGTATCACTTTACTTGCCCTTCTTATAAAAACATTTACCTTCCTTACTAACAGGAAACATCTTTAAGAGCAGCACCTATCTGATTCCTTTTAGTACGGTGTCTTACTATAGTTTAGATATGAATAAAGAAAGCATAAATCTGTTCATGAGATAAACACCATACTGAAGATATGGCATAAACTTCTGTTAGAGTTAAGTCAGAAATTCACTGAATACCTCAGGATGACTAAAAAGTCTAATCACTTTAGCATAGTATCTTCACAACTAGTTCCTACCTTAAATTTTTCAACTTCATCTGCCCCTCCCCATTTTCCCCATGCTGACTGCACCAGATTACTCACTCCTTTTTGTTTGTTTGTTTGGTCATCCCACACATGTTCTCAATGCCATTCTATTTCTCCACTTAGCAAATTCCTATGTAGTCTTAAAAGTTCTATCCAGAAGTTACCTCTATATTGAGAACTTTCCTACCTCCTCCCAACTCTATCCAAACCATGGAAAGAATTACTTGCATCCTCATCTGTTCCTGTAGCACTTTTTTAATTCTCTTATAACATTTAAACCACCTTATTGCAGGTAGCTGTTTACATGTGTTCTCTACAAGACTTTGTGTTAATAAAGGAAAAGATTTTTTTACCACTGTTAATATACCTTTAGTACTCCAAATGGATTTAATGCTGTCTTGAGAGCACTTTAAGGAGTTTTTGTGGTGCAGTTATTAATGCATTTGGCTGCTAACCAAAAGGTCAGCAGTTTAAACTCACCATATGCTCCCTGGGAGAAATTTGAGGCAGTCTGCTTCCCTAAAGACTTACAGCCTTGGATACCCTATGGGGCAGTTCTACTCTGTCGTAAGGATCGCTGTGAGGCAGAATTGACTCAATGGCAGTGGGTTTAGTTTTTGAGAGTATTTCAAGTTTTTTGGTTCATTTCGTTCTGGTTTTGTATTTTAAAATGCAGACTTGCTTGAGATTATACCATCATGAGGGCCAAAAATCAACTAATATTACTGATTTTAACATCATTTAACTTTCACATACGATTAGATATTTGATGCAGTCATTTATCTTCTCTTTAGGCTTATTTTAATCATGTATAAAACTTTATTTCAGACTGAAAGACATTAAGGTATATTTTGAATAGTTAATAGCCACTAACAAAAATATTTAAACCCAATATAAGGGGCTAAAGAAGAAATTATCGTCTCTTATTAAAAATAATTTAAACAATAACGCAATGCAACGCACTGCCATTGAGTCAAATCCTACTCATAGCGACCCTTCCTTGGGTTTCCAAGGTGGTAACACTACAGAAGTAGATTGCTCAACCTTCCTCCCAAGGAAGAGCACGTTTTTATCAAGTCATTTACAAGCACTAACCAACTAAAAACCCATTGCCATTGAGCCAATTCTAATTTATGTTGTTGTTGTTGTTATGTGCCGTCGAGTCAGCCCTGACTCATAGCGACCCCTCCTTTGGTTTCCAAGGCAGTATCACTACGGAAGTAGGATTGCCCAACCTTCCTTCCGGGGAGTGGCTGGTGGGTTTGAACCGCCAGCCTTCTGGTT